CCACTTTTAATTCTTTCAGGCTAAGACTAATAAGATAACTCATGACTAGGAGTCCAGAGAGGGTTGCTCCACGTCCCCCCTTTTCCTCACTGACCCCTTCTCTCTCCCATCCTGCCCCTACAGAAAGCCCTAGCCTCGGCCCAGGGAGCATCATGACCGAGGTTGGCTGGTGGAAGCTGACCTTCCTCCGGAAAAAGAAGTCCACTCCCAAGGTGCTGTATGAGATCCCTGACACCTATGCCCAAACAGAGGATGATGCGGAGCCCCCGACACCCGAGGGTGGGAGCCCCAACAACGACTTCAATGCCCGGCTGGAGAAGATTGTGGACAAGAGCACAAAGGGGAAGCATGTCAAAGTCTCCAATTCCGGCCGCTTCAAGGAGAAGAAAAAAGTCCGTGCCACGCTGGCAGAGAACCCCAAACTGTTTGATGACAGGGAGGGCAAAGGACAGTGAAGGGAGCCCAGGAGGATGCTAGTACCTCCCTGCTCCCTGCCATCAGCTAGTCTGAGACAGGAGCTTGCCACACTGGCCTCTTGGCCACAGCTGAAGCCGTGGGGGCAGTTGATGCCTGCTGGCAGGAATTGTCTGGTTTTAGGTTTATATTTATGTGCTCCAGCTTTCTGGAAGGACTGGGAGACCCTAAGATTCTCTCAGCCTCCCCCACCACCTACAAAGGCACTCCAGTTCAAGGATGAAAAGTCCCAGCCAGAAAGGACAGCCCTCCTTGAAGCAGTGGTAGCAGCGGCCGGGAAATGAGCATGGAAAGGAGTGGAGTGGAGCCGGACAGACTTCACCTCCTTCTAGGGTACGGGGTCAAGGGTAAGTCTAAATTGCGGCTCCCTTTACTTTTTCTGTGACTGTTCCCTGGAACAATTCTGAAAGGGAATTTTCCAGAAGCCATGTGATGGGAGGTGATTTTCTGGAGCCTGAGGCAGAGATGCTGAACTTGAGCTCACCTCCTAACACAACTGGGAAACTTCCTGGAACTTCGCCCCCAAGTACGCAGGGGGAGGAGAACCCCGGCGCCCTCTAGGGTGCTGCAAAGGGCCAGGTTAGGGATCCCATGGATTGCTGCACACATCTTCAAAGGGAGACTACATCAGACAGACTACACTGGTCGCAACTAGGAGCTGGGGAAGCTCTAGTAGGGGCTAAAAGCAGCCAGTTCTCTTCTCTCCTTCCCCTACTAGTACTTAAGATGAATCAGCCCCTGAGATGAGTCCTGGAGCCTTGATTTTGTTTTAAAAAATTGTATGTTTCTTTTTGTAATAAACAATACTGCAAAAGCAGAGAATCTATTGATGCTCTTGTCATGCATTTATAGAGATGACTTTTAAAAAAAATTTTATTGAGATCATTACGAAGGTTTCACATGAAAAACAACGTGGTTACTACATTTACCCATATTATCAAGTCCCCCCCCACCCCATTGCAGTCACTGGCCATCAGTGTAGTAAGATGCCACAGAGTCAGTACTTGTAGAGGTGACTGTTTTTCAAATGCCTTCACTCCCTTCATGTAAGCAAATCAAATGTTCCTTTCAAGCATCAAAAGGGTCCCCAGGTGTGAAAATGTAGCACTTGGGTCACCAGAAAAGCCATCAGGGGCCCCGAGAGAGTGGAAGAGACCTTTGGTGACTGATCCCGAAGATGCAGTGGTTTGGTTTGGGATCAAGATTCAAGTTCTGGTTCCACGCCTTTGTAGCTGAGTTATTTAGGGAACATTAAAAAGCAAAAACAAGAAAACGAACCTTCCTCTGATCCTCAGTTTCCTTTCTTTAGAAAGCGCTGTGATAGTCCCTATTTCCCAGGTCAAGGTCAGTACTAAGTGCCCCATGGTAGGGCTACTACAGTTCTATCATAGTGCTCAGTTAATATTGGCTTCCTGCCCCTTCATTTATTAAGGAACTCTACCATAGCCCACAGCTTCTGCTTAAGGAAGAGGGGAGAATGTGCTTCACACACTGTTAGACTCAGATCTTTCTCGAGCCCCAGGAACTGGAACTGGAAAAAACTGGCCAAATTTCTGGAGCTCATGGTGCGAACAGGGAGAGACCAAGGTGGCAACTGAATGATAGGTCCTACAGCTCTGAGGCCAGCTCCCTGCAGGCTGTGGGCCACCCCACCCCACCCGGAGCGTTGCTCAGGAAGTTTATTACCAAAACAAACAGACCCACACAAGGGGGCCTTTATCAGGTGGCCTCACCCAGGCCACTGAACGCTCTGGGATGAGTGCGGGAGACCAGGAGCCGAGGGAGGGAGAGTGAGCTCGGGAGCGCTGCCTTCCCCAAGGCCTTTCCTGTACCGCTCCCACCCACGCAGCCTCCTAGGGTCCACCAGCTAGTCCACACAGGCTCCCAGGGAGGAGCTGAAGTGGCCTACACTCCAGCCCTGCCCAGGGTTAATAGGTGACATTCGCCGGGCTTGGCCTTGTGGCAGGAACTCCATGCGGTTCTTCATTTACTCATCACCCGAGACTGGTGCTGTCATTACCCCCATTTTCCAGGCCAGTTAGCTGAGGCTTAGAGAAGTGAAGACAGAGAAGACACTTGTCCTAGGTTAGGCACGCACAGTGGTGGAGCTTGCCTGAGGCCAGAGCTGGCCTGTGCTGTGCCCACAGCAGCACACAGCCCTTCCTCTCTTGATTTTCACCTGTTCAGGGGGTGGAAACAGACTCAGAATAAGGAAAGGAGTACAGTCCACTTCTGCAGAAGGAGAGGTTGTAGGGAGAAAGGCAATACCTTGGCTTCGGGATCCTAGGAAGTGAGCACCATTCCTAGGGGGCTGTAGAGATTCCGGAAGCAATGGGGGAAAGCCAACTAGCTTCGAGGCTGAGTGTCCCCTGAGAACAGGACTATAGGAACCTGCCACGTCAGCTCATCCTAAGGTTCCTTGAGGAGAGGGCACGAGTCAGGCTGGGCTCTGGGCCACAGACCCATGTTCTACCCAATACTGGCCATCACATTGCCATCATTATCCCTTAGGTGAGAGAGTCTATGGCCCCTTTGTCCTGTGTCTCAACCCTGCCCTACAGAAATCTTCCAGGGACACTCCTATATATCCCTAAGCTGGGGGCGGGGATCAAGGGATGGGGACGCACATTGGGTACCTACTCAAAGCTAAAGGGACATCTGGCTCCCCAACGGAGTCAGCGCGAGGCACTGAAAGTATTCATGAGGCCAGAGGAGGAGGAACCGAGAGCGCAAATATGCACAGGAGCCGAGAGAGGCTACGGGTTATCGACCACAGTTTCACTGGGACTCGACCCAAGGCGGGGATGGGGAAGGTAGGCAGGGCCGGCTAGAACCGGCCTGCACTGTCCAGAAGGGGCCAACTCTGGGCGGCAGGCTCCCCCTGCTGGACACCCAACCTCAAGGGAGAGGAGAAGCAAGATGAGGAGTCACTTAAATTCCCCAACTCCGCCCCCCGGGAGTGGGGCAGGTTGAACATTAATATGCCCAGTTGACAAGCTTTTATTATAGACTTGGCATAGTGATTGTCAGACAGCGAACAAGTAATGGGACAGCTGAGACCAGGCTCAAAGCTGGGGGGACACACAGCCCTCTCTAACACAGGACAAGGTAGTGAAGGGCATCCAGCACCCTCTTCTGCAGGTGGCCACAGGGTTAGCATTGTGCCTTCTGCACTCAGGCTTACAGGGGCACCAACACTGTGAGGGCCGCCCCTGCAGGAGCTGCCTGTCAGTAACAGGCAGTGAAGCACACTCCCGTACTGTGGAATGGAACGGCTCACAGAGCGGCAAGTTCACTGCCAACACGCTTGGATAATAGTTCTCTGATGCTAGCTTAGTCCCAGTGAACGTTTACCCAGACTGGCTCCTCTCCACAGCTTGTAGGCCACTCATCCAGGCTGTCCCTGGTCACCAGATGTGCACCCAAGGAAAGCAAACCCAGTTTACACAGGCTTCAGCTGAAGGTTACTGAAGAATCCAGTTTGTAAGGGTGGGAGGTTGTCAGTCTAGAAATTGAGGCCAGTGCCTCTGGTCACCTGTGGAGTTTGTTAAATGCTGAATGGGATGCTGTGGGTCTGGGGTGGGATCCCAAGTGCTACAGATGTTGATGGCCCATGGCACACACTGCAAGTGGCAAGGGTCTTGACTAGGGTTCTCAGACTTGGCTGCAGAGAATTCCCTGGGGAGCTTTTAATTTTTTATCTGGATATAAAATATATATGTATGTATACATACACATACACACACTTACAGTGCTCAGAAACAATTGTGGAGAGGAAAGTTGGATTTTAATCTTTGGCCCGTAAATACCAACACATGAATCTCTACAAAACTCCTGATTGTCTGGGATTGAATACTTCTAGTAACAGAACCCTCACTATCTAATAGGTAACTGCTTCCTCTTAGGCAACCCTGATTGTTTGAAAACCCTCTCCATATTGAGATGAGTACTTCTGTGTAACTTCCACCTACCAGTCCTTCAGAGCTACAGAGAATAAACCTAATCTTTTTTCCACATTGTTGCGCTTTTGATAATGGAAGGCAACTATCAGTAGGGTAAGTGCTATAAAAATATCCTACAAGTAAATGAGTTAGTTAAGGTTCTTTTAGTTATAAGTAACAAGTCAATTCTAGCCAGTATGAGCCAAATTTTTTTTTCTAACGGAGATAGTGGGTGCTTTGACGCAGGAGGAGGAATTGCACAGTCCAGAAGTGGGAAGGTGGGATCCAGGGTCACTCGGGGATTGCAAGAGCGGCAGCCATAGGCTGTTCTTTCTTGGCTGCCATTAATGACTTGGCTACAATGATTTCCATGCTCTGCGTCCTACATTTCAAATTGTTGGCAAGAAAAGCCAATTGGTTAGATTGGCTCAGGGCCTTATACCGGGACCAATCAGCTTTGGCCAGTACGAGTCAGTCACCTGAAAACAGACAGGGCTGCTGGGGGACCCCAGATGTCACCAGAAAAGGCAACCACATCAGCTGCTACCTCTAGAGGGAGCTATTCCAAAAAAATCATAGTCAAAGTCAAGAAAACGATGGGATTATTTTCCATTTATGATTCTCTGTGCCCTTGCTACACTTCACAAGACCAGCTAACTGAGAGCCAGCTGAGTACAGATTTGGTAGCCTAGACTCTGAAGAGCCTTAAATATAAGGGGTGGGGAGGGAACTCGGTTGAGTTTAGAAGGGCCTGACTCCCCATTCACACCCTCTCTTAGCTGCCAGCCCCAGCTCCAGCTCCATCTGGCACCAGTGGACTGGGGATCAGGGTGCAAGTCTCTCAAAGAGCCAGTCCTCCTCCCCGCGGTGGGTCATGGGCCCCAAAGGGGAGACTTCTGTGGGTGCACTCCGTCGAAAGACGATCCGGTCGTGCAGGCGGTTGGTCTGGCCTTGCCAGAACTCTATCACCTGTGGGTACAGGACGTAGCCACCCCTACAAGGAGAAGCAGAGGTTCTGATGCTCTGCATTTTTCCAGCCAGGTCAACCCCCACCCCATTCCAGGCCCCTTGAAGGAAGTGGCTGGGATGCATCTGATGAGGGTCGCCAGGAAGGAGTAAATCTGTAACTCCAAAGATGGGGAGGTTCCAAGTAAACTCGAGGGTCGTGGTGCCCCTTTCTAGATGCCCACAATGTGTCACTCACCAGTATTTTGGCTTTGGCACCTCTTGTTCCTTGTAGAGCTGCTCCAGCTCCTCATTTTTCTTTCTCAAATACTGTCCAAGGGAAGGAGATAGAAAGCCAGACCAGTCAGTGACTCATTTAATAACCACTTACTGAGCCTGTGCTCTGTGCCAGGCACTGGGGACACAGGTGAGCAAGGCAGGCTGGCCTCTGGCCTCTGGGAGCACAATCCAACAGGTGGACCAGACACCCATCCCCGCTTTCCCCTGGCAACAGCCTCTGGGGACAAGCCAAGGCCCCCGTCACCCAGAGGACTGGGGAGGAGCCCCACTCACCTCCCGGTCCGGGATCATGGAACTCTGGTGACTGACCACTGCCCCAATCTGGCTGCTCTTGGGGCGGGAGTGGAAGTAGCTCTCGGCCTCCTGCTCGGGTAGCTCCTTCACGGAACCCTCCACGCGCACCTGCTCAGGGATGGCCCTGGCTAAACAGCGTTCAATGCCGCCCACCCTTCCTACCTGCACGAGTCCCATTCGTCACTTTCTTCTCCTTATCCACTGCCCCGCTACTGCTGGCTCCAACTACAACAGCTAATTGAGAGCTTTTTGAGAAACAGGATGTTCGCCCAGCCTGGGGACCACCATTGTTCATCTACAAACTCAGGACCCTCCCACCCCAGCGCACCCCAGCTGTCCTGGGAATGGTCACTCACCTGACGGTTTAAGGGCTCCCAGTAGAAGACAAGGGAAGCAAAGGGATTAGAGTCCTGGAAATGAAAAAGAATCCAGGCAGCCATCAGCATAGCAGGGAGGACACCTCCAGCATGCAGGGGGAAGGCAAGAAGTCTGCAGCATGCAGGCCCACAGCAGATGCATTCACTGTAATATCTCATTTAAACCCTCAAAAGGCAGGCCTGCTTTTACAGGTGAGGGGGCAGGCTCAGAGAGGTTAAGTAATGTGCTTAAGTTCACACAGCAAGTGCTAGAGCTGCGCTGAAAACCTACACCAGTTGGACTCCAAAATGAGGCTTGCCATTTCTCTCACCCATAGATTGCAAGTCACTGGAAATGTGTTTGGCTGGCATGGACTCAGGAAGGCTACTCATTTGGATTCAAGGATGAAATGCATACAAAGTGTCAACTCTTGTGCTCCACACCAGGAGAGGTGTTGGGGGTATAACAGAGATACAACTGATGCAGCCTCTGCCCCCACACAGCTTACAGTTTACAAAGGAAACAAGCCCGAATCACATAATTGCATAAATAAATGTGTATTTAGAAACTGAAAAAGTAGCAGAAAGGAAAGGTACAAGTCTCAGTGACAGCAAACAGTATGAGCAGCTGACTCAGCACAGGAGCTGAGAGAGGCTTTCCTGAGGAGGTCACACTGGGGCTGAGAGTGGCAAGTGCAAAGGCCCGCAGGCAGGATGGCACCTGAGCACAGCAGGAAATGCTTTGGGGCAGGGGTGGCATGAGAAGGCAACCAAAGGAGTGAGGACTGGGCTTGCAGGCCTGAGAAGATTTACTATGAACCCTCACCAGCTCTTTCCCCTTTCTACTCTCCAAGTTAGTGAAGAAGCGGAAGCCATCCTTGCCGAAGCCCTTCAGCAGCACCATGCGGGCAGATGGTTTTCCATCTCTGCAGCAAAGAGCAAAGCACCATGGTCAGAGCCCATTTCAATGTCCTTGTTACCACCTCTCCCCACAGGGTGTCTGTGCCCCCATACACCTGTGACTCTGCACTGTCTGGGCACTTGGGCTACCCAGTCCCACTTGCCCCTAGGGATCTGTCCTAGAGACGCAAGTATGACACCATTACCTGGGTCCTGTTATGGACTGAATTACGTCCCCCTAAAATGCTATGTTGAAGCCCTAACTCCCAACATGACTGTATTTGGAGATAAGGCCTTTAGGGAAGTTATTAAGGCTAAATGAGGTCATAAGGGTGGGACTCTAACTCAATAGGACTGGTGTCTTTATAAGAAAAAGGAAGGATATCAGAGTGTGAGCTCTCTCTTCCTGCATGCACACAGGGAAAGGGCATGTGAGGACACAGAAGAAGGCGGCCATCTGCAAGCCAGGAAGAGAGGCCTCACTGGAAACCAAGTCTAACAGAACCTTGAGCTTAGACTTCTAGCTTTTAGGACTGTGAGAAAATTAATTTCTGTTGTTTAAGCCACCCAGTCTGTGCTACTTTGTTATGGCAGCCCTAGCAGACTATCAAGGATTTGCAATCAGGTAGTGCTGAGATCCCAGAAGGGGCAGTCAAGCAGGTCCTCCGCTCAGAGCTCTGGGGGATACCCAGCCACAGAGTACAAGAGCCCTGCCTTCAAAGCCTTACACTTTAGTGAGAGGGGACAAGAAGAGTCGAATAAGAGGCTAACGTAAGAGTTGTCTCAAGGGGTATATGACTGATTGTCGAATGATACCAAGCACAGTGCTAGGTTTCAAAAGAGGGAGAGAGCTTTATGGAGAAGTTCCAGAGGATGTAGTTCTTAAAAGGACAGATGGGGATTGGGTAGATGAGGAGGTGAGAGAGACAAGGGTATGTGTGTGGTGCATCAAAGGCAGAGATGAATGAGGCACTACATTTTATCACTGAAATGGAATTGAATGAAGTCAGTTCATTGGTTTCAGGTAATGACAGAGGTCCAGAGAGGACAAGTAACTTGCCTGAGGCCACACAGTATGTTAATTACAAAGCTAGAACTATACATTTGTCATTCATCAAAGTGAAAGCTTCCTAAGTTTCCTACCTCACCTGTACCCACCCACTGAGGGGCCCACAGCTATGCCCACCTGGTGCAGGTAGCCAGACACATGGCATTCGCTTCCCCTATGTCAGGACACTGAACAGCCTCCTCAAACCAGGCAGCAAACTGCTTCATGGGGTCCAAGGAGGTCAGCTGGTTCTCCTCAAATGCCTGGGAAGGGAGAGTTTTATTTCACTTAATAAATACACACAGTGCTTATTGTGTACATGGCACTATTTTAGGCATTTTTCAAATACTGACTCATTTAGTCCTCATAACAAAAAACAGTACCCAGGGAGTGGGTTGTTAGCCCCATTTTACAGGTAAGGACACGGGCATAAAAAAATGGAGTGATTTGCAGAGTTCCACAATTACTGATGGATGAATCAGGGTTTCATGTCATGGATATCAAGTCTATCACCTGAGGAGAAAAGACCATTTCCTGGGCTGGGCTTCACCCCTGTAAATTCTCACTCAGTAGTTCTGAAGTTTAATGAATACCTGTATGCTTAACAAGCATTTCCAGAAATGCTCACATGCAACCAGATTTGCTAATCATGGCTCTGGGCCCCAATTCCAAGAGAGTTCTCTTGGTTCCTCTCTTGGGGAGAGAAAAGGGAAGAATTTCTCCAGTTGGGAAGGCAAGGGACTGAAGACAGCAGCTGCTAGTTTTCTCTTCCTCTCTGTTTTGAGTTAGTCCACCTCCTCCATGTGTTATTTATCAAACATTCATTAGCTGAGTCTCACTGTTCATTGCACTTTACAAATATCAAAACCCACAAAGTCCCTGTGAGGTAGATACTATCACTTCACACATGGGGAATCTGAGGCCCGGGGAGGTTAAGTTATTGCCCAAGGCAATGCACCCAGCAAACATCATTATCCCAGCCCAGACAGGCTCCGGAATTCATGCTCTCTCCACACAAGCTGCCTCTCGAACCCATCTCCACTCTCACTTCCCAAGAACCCCTCCCGCGTTGGTTGTCCGTGAACCCCCTTCTCCCACAGGGGTGACCCCAAACTTCCTCGTCCCACGGGGTGGCCCAGAAAACCCGTGGGGATCCTCTCCCCTCCCCTTTAGAGATGACTCGGGGCCTCCTGTTCCCGAGCCTCCTGCAGGAGGCTGCCCGGAGGCCCATGGCACCTCTCGGTCTCCGCGGTAACTCTTGCGCATCGGCCCCAGGTCCATGACAGCGCCGCGGCCACACAGGTGACGCAGGTACTGGGGCCACTCGGCAGGTCGCCCGAACGTCACGCTGACGCCCCGTAGCCCGCACGTCATGGGGCCGCCGGCCACGTGACCCGGCGTCGCCGGGCGCTGGATTCCGTTGGGTTAGGAACCAATTCCTTAGCCAGGGAGTTTACCCCGGGGAAAGAAGAACGCGCCGGTCGCGGAGCCCAGATAACAGACCGTAGGTCCTCGGAGCCAATGGGAGCCCAGGGTCAGAGGAGGAAGACAGACCCCGAGAGGCCATTGGTTGAATTTTCCAGAAGTGAGGCCAATTAGAACGAGAACAGAGGAACCCAGCGACCAATGGGAGGCGCCTCCGGGGGCGGGAGCAGCGAGACAAGGAAATCCTGTCACCCCCGTTAACACGCACGTGGAAGTTTGTTAAAGGTATAGGGACAGCTACAGCCCTGGCGTCGGGGGGCCTGGGATGAGCCGCTGTAGGCAGGAGGGGAGTGGTCAGTATGAAGTGGCGGGTCCCTAATAGGTCTTTAAGACGAGCCCAGCGCGGGAAGTACCCTCTGGGGGAGGCTGGTGGGCTGAGAAAGGACAAGTAAAAAATGGAATTAGGGGCCTGACTCCGTGGCAAAGCGATGGGGAGAAACAGAGAAAGGGATGATCTTGTTGGGGGGAGAAATTGGGGCTAGAGAGTGGGAGAGATTGGATTACTTGTGGACCAGACGGGATAGGAGCTGTGTGGTGTGTGTGAGTGTAGGGGGTGGGGGTGGTGAGGAGTACTCTGGGGTCTGGGGAGGTGCAGTGGGGTCAGGAGACTGTGGGGTGAAAATGAAGACCGCTGAATGGGAAGGGGGAACAGAGACATTTGGGATCAAGCCATTCCAGACCAGAGCCATCTTCCTGCCCCAGCTCTGAACCCCATCTCTCCGGCCTCATTTCTTTGACCTGGGTCAGAGCTTTGCTCATGGTGTCCGCTTTCATGGTGCAGCGGAGTTCACACTAGCTAGCGTTCTGGTAGGTGGAATGGTAGCACTGCCCCATCACTCCTGGGCCTCCCCCATCTTTGCTGAGTTTCCCCTTTCACATTTTGTCCTTCCTAAGTAGTTGGAGTCTACTTCCTAGGTCAATTACTAGCTATAGCTGAGGGCACAGAGGAGCAGGTGGCTGTACAAAGCCACTTTCAGGCTGTGGACACAGGGCTGAGAAATGGAAACCCGCCAGTGCCCATTCCAGCTTTGACTTGGCTGAGGCAGCCTTGGGTCAAGGCCTCTCTGTAGTCCTGGTTTCCACCAACATCAGGAAGGGGAGCTGCAAGAGCCATCTAGGCAGGCACCCCAGGACTGTGCCAGGTAAGGGGAACTTCCTGCCCTGCCCGGTTGTCTGCATTACCAGGTGCTAAGCTTCATAAAAACCCTGCACTAGATACCTAGCATCCTTTACTGTATGGACATAGCTTGAGGCAAACTGGTGGACAGTTGCTGCAAAGAAATAATTCTTATCTCAAGGCTTAAAGATGTGGATCTACAGAGCCCCCACTGGCTGGAATTTTTTGCTGCATCATTTTCCTCCATCAACATGACTGAGAGAGTTGACCAGACTTTCTTTCTTGTTGAGGTTGTCTTTCCATGTATGAACATTGTCCTTCCTGCCTCCCAAGCCCTCTGCACTTGAATCTGTATAAGCAGTTATTAGTACCCTTCAACTTAGATGGCTTTGCTCAGAGGGACATACTCTTAGCACTCCTGAGCTATGCTACCCTGCAATTCTGGGGCACCAAGACTAGGATCATTTGCATGGTTTGCTTAAAAGCCAAGAGCTCAGTATAGATACTTATTCATTTAGTAGACATTTGTGAAAGACTTCTCTTGGACCAGGCACTGAGCTAGGTCTGAGAACACTAAGGTGAAGATGACATGATTCCTGCCCACAAGGGGTTTGTTGTCTGTAGGGGGAAGCAGATCTGTAAGCTGAAGAGTTACAGGTACTTTTAACAGATATTTCTGCAAGGTAAAGGGAAATAAAAAGGAGGAGTGGTCTCCAAGGATCCAACAGTCAGGAAAGGCTTCGTAAAGTGAGCAGACATTTGATTTGTTGTAATTTGTCAATGTTTGCCAGATGGACAATGGAACAGGCATGCCAGGAAGAAGGAACAATGTGAGTAAAGGCACTGATGCTTTAGGGAAACCTGAGGTAGTGTGGTACCACTGGAGCGAGGTGCTGAGAAATTGGCCGGGCAAGTTGGCAGGGGCTCCGTGCACCTGCTGAAATCAGGCAATTGGCAGGGGCTGGGCTTTTATGCAATCTATATCTTTTTTATCCTGTGCTGTTGCTGAACCAGTGTCTAATTCCTGTTTTTTAAAGACAGATGGGGAGAAAAAGTACTAGATTCCAACAGCCTCTCCCATCCTTGGCGATTAGTGAGGAAGTCTGCAATTGGTTGCCTTTTTATATTTTCCTCTTTGTCTTGAAAATAATAACTAAGCTTGTGTTGTGCTTTTCTGCCTAATGGGATTTAGTGCCTGGATCACAAAGCAGCCCTGCAGTGCAAACCAGAGGGGGTAACACGCCCGCAAGCTATGCTGCTACCACCACAACCCCAGCGAGGGTTTTGTCTGTCTGGGAGAAATGAATTTTTTATTGTTAATGCCATTTCTTAAACACTTTGCCACCCTACCCCTCCCAATTTTGTAAGTGTATTCATCTTTTCTCCAGAGAGTCTTAAATGAATAGAAAATATATTGTAATATTTCACTGTACAGAGAGGCACACCGGTTTCTCAATATGAAACAGGCTGTGGGTATAGGTTAAAGGGCTGTGCCTTGCCTGATATCTTCAGATGCTTTTGCACTTATGTTCTTAAATCACCTTTGGGTCTAACTGTTTGATTGAATTAATGATTCAGTGGGCCCCAGCTCTGGTGACCAAGTGGATGGGGGCTAAGACAGTGGTAGGGAGGCCTTGGGAGACGTAGCAGAAGCTGGCAGAGGGAGCCGGTGCTGAGCCTGTGGTGGGGGTAAGGGGGTGGAGAGGAGGGAATCAACTCACCAGGAGAACTTGAGGCAACATGGGTTGTACTGTTTATTGAAGTGGTACGTGTTGGAGCAGGAAGTTTGGGAAAAAGAAGTTGCTTCTCAGACTTGTTGAGTGAGAGTTGATGGGACACCCATGTTTGGTCTGCTTAGATAATCAAGTTTGAAGCTTAGGGGAGAGGTCTGAGCTGAGAGGTCTGAGCTGATGAGACCACTTTTGGTGGCATCTGAAGCCATGCAAGAGGATGAGGATGTCTGAGAAGGGACTATGGCCTGTGAGAGTTGAGGATGTTGGCAGAGGAGGGAGGCCCAGGAAGATGGTCATGATGCTGATGAAACACAGTGCCCAGCTTTTCGGGAGGCCAGTGTTGTGCTGGGGGGGTTGGAAGCTAAGGAATTCTTGGGTTCAGCCTTGGGGGGAACTCAGGATACACAGAATGTTGCATTCGTGGTGCTTTGCCAGCAGTTGCCTGAGCTCTAGGGGGCCCAGATATGGGCCAGGTCCTCAGAGGCTTGCAGTGGGATGCAGAGGAGGCTGACCCTATCTGCGTGTCTTGCCTCTGGTCACATGGTTAACCCTTGCATGTGTTCACAGATGGCCTTCCACATATGTCCTGTCATTCTCATATGAATTCATTAGAGGTGCCTTGATGGGAGGAACTGCATCTCTTACTTTCTCTGGCTCCTTCTCAAAATTGCAGCCAGGAAATGCTGATCTGTAATGTTTATGCATAAACTGCTGTTGCTAAGCTTCTCTGTATCTGGGTGCTAGGCAAGGTGAGTGGGGCTTGGGGCTTTTTTGCACCTAGAGGGGCAGGGCCGAGAGTTTTTGTTGGTGAAAGATGGTAACCTTTCCCAGGCTGAGTGAGATATGAGGGTACCAGTCCCAGTCCAGGCGCAGGCTGCCTTGGTAATCAGAGTGTAAGCCACAGGCAGAGAGGAGGTCTGGCGGTGGGTACCCTGGCAGGCCCTAGGCATGTGACCTGCAGCTTCCTAGTCTCATTTGAGAAATGCTTGTCGCTCCTTGCTTTTGGCCTGACTTGTGGTCATTTCTTCTGTGTACTTACCCAGATCCTGATGAGCATCTGGGGGCTTTCCTCTCCAAGCCCTGACTCTCTTCCATAACCCACATGGTTGGCTTTCTCTCCACACACTTCTATTCTCTATTCCACCTCCCCATGCTCATTTCCTGCCTCTCCCACTCTCTGAGGTCTCCTTCACTAGAAAACTCAGGTGCCACCTGTCCCCAGGTCACTGCAGTTTCTTTAGTGGCTTCATCCCAGCCCCAAAGACATTGGTCTGGTCACAGAGATCTCTGGGTCTCCGTCCCAAGGCAGTGTCACCCCGAGTCTGGGTCCCTGGCATCCAGCACCATGTAGACTCAGCCATGCCCCTGACTGGTCCAGGAACCAGCAGTCCTGCAGGTGGCTCCCTTCATCAGACTCCAGTGTGGGGCCTCAAGGGACCCTCAAAAGGTCATGAAGATGGACTGAAGAGTTTGAATTAAGCCTGAGCTCTATTTGCTGGTTTGGTTTAAAAAAAAAAAGTTATTTTGTTTGGATTTGCTTTCAGGAGGGGGAACCATCCCCAGGCCCCATTTCTTTTTTTTTTTTTTTTTTTAAGTATCATTGATATACAATCTTATGAAGGTTTCACATGAAGAACATTGTGGTTTCAACATCCACCCATATTATCAAGTCCTCACCCACCCCCAACCCCAAATGCAGTCACTGTCTGTCAGCATAGTAAGATGCTATAGAGTCATTTCTTGTCTTCTCTGTGCTGTACTGTCCAGGCCCCACTTCTCTGGGGCTTTGTAATCATCATATCTGAAACCAAGAGCAGCAATGTTGAGCTCAGTGAACAGACAGGATGGGACAGTGAGAGGTGGCCTTGGTGCAGATGGCCCTGAGAAGGGAAGGTGACAGAGGAGGGAACTCAGGCAGTATGGCCCTTGGTCTTGAGTTGCTAGGGGTGGCCTGCCCCAGATTTTCAACCAGGGTGAACCAGGTGTCCTGGGGGACCTCTGGCCAGGAGTGAGCTTGGGTTGTACCTGCCCCCAACAACTCTCAAGAAAGGATGGGTTAAAGCCAAGGAAGGCCGATTTGCCACCAGGTCTCTCCATTCTCTCCTCATTGCCATCCCCCATGTAGGCAGACCACATTCTCTTACTCCCTTTCAAGCATCTCACGGGAGGCAGAGATGTCAGGCATAACTTCTGAACCTGTGTGTCTGACTGGAGAGTGGAAAGCCCAAGTGCCAGCATGCAGTTCGCCTGCTGGGGGCTAGCACCCTCACTTCCAAAGGATGCCAAGGAATCAGGTTCTGCAGTTGAAGCATGAAGCATGTGACTTAGAATCAGCTCTCAGAAAGGATAATTGTGATAATTCTTTGTGCCTGAGAGCAAAGTTAAGGAGAACATGTGGCAGAAAGAGGTCAATTTGTTAATATTCCCTTCTCTACAGTCCCAATTCAGAGCACAGCAAGGCAGTTTTCTTCTCATGCAATCTGTGCATGACGAAGAGAGAAATATATACCTCACGTCTTCCACTGCCAGCACAGCAGGGCCGATGGGCTGGTTAAGAGGCTTCTGTGCCCAGGCAGATTGATCAGTTGGCCTGGCATTACCAAAAGGTTTAAGTGTGGTAGTCAGGGAGAAAACCAGGGATCAATGAGATCCTTCTCCTTTTTATTTCTTCAGTGAATGTGAGGATGGACTTGCTCTAAGGAAAAGCTGTTTGCTTGCCAACACTGGCCACTGGTGACAAAGGAAACGGTAAGGGAATGGATAGCTCAAAATGAGCCTTGCCACTCTCGCAGAGAACAGCAACCCTGGCTGTGTCCTTTTGGGGTGAGGAAGAGGCACACTCGTTGTAACAAAGTACATACTGCATTCTACATGCTTGAGAACAACTTGCCTCTTCCCTCAGCCCAGATGCTCTAGGCCTCCGCTGGGTTTCCACATGTACTGAGCTAGCTCCAATCTCAGTCCAGATAACATCACAACCCCTAGCCTCTATAACCTCTGCCCCACCACCAAAATTTCAACTTGCAGCATTCATTAAAACCAAAATCAACCCACTGCCCTCCCTGGGGTGCTGGGATGGGGGACAGAAGAGAAAAGGAATCTTGGCTAGGGTCCTCACTTAGAGCTGAGTTTCCAATCTAGCCCTCCACCCTGGGAAGGGATGTTGGCCCTTAGAGAATTACATTTTCTCCACTCTAGCCTGTGGAAGGAACTAAGCTAAGACCCCTTTGGCTGTCTCCCATGGTTCTTACTAACTGGCTGTGAGGCCGAAGCCTTCCCCCAGGGGTCAGAGAGTTGAGTGGGAGTATGCATTTGCTGGGAAGGAAGCCATGGCTGGGACTCGCGTCCGTGGGCAGCGTGCCTGCCTTGGTCTGGGCAAAGCTGGCTTTCAGGAGAACACGGCAGGCCCGCCTGTCTAGGCCCTGTCCCCTGGAGGTCCCACCAGGTACTCTGGAGGGCTCATGCCAGTGCCAGGAGGCCAGGGTCCTGCCCTGGTCCCAGTGTGGACAAGGGGCAATGAGACCAGGGCCCCCTCTCTGGAGTCTCCCTGGAGCTCTCCAAAAGACAAAGGAAGCTGCGCTGGCACGTGCAGGTTTTGCCTCAGGCAACTAAATTTATTAGCAAGAAAAAATTTGCGTCAGCCCAGTGCTGACCAACCAAGTACATTGTTAATAAAGAATAACAAATCTGTCACTTAATTCATAAAACATACCTCAAGCAATTACAACTAAAAATAAAGTTGGACTTTGTTTAATTTAAAAGCCTCAAAAATAACAAGCAATATGTTTTTAAACATGTAGTAGACACAATTGTCTATTATACAATATACACTGTACACAAGTAGAGCGAGGGCCGCTGGGGTGAGTGAGATGAGAGGGAGGGGAGGGGTTCAGGATGCAAAGGGGTTTTTATCGGAATCCAGATTTGAGTTGAAATGTCATTTAGAACAGAATTGCAAGAGTGAGAAAAAATGTATAGGCTCATCATTGCTCCCCAAAACCCTAAATTGAAGCAGGCATGGGAAGGTGAGTAACAAGGACAGGAAGAAGGGAGCAATTAAATAAAATGTTAAAACACACACAAAACACAGTGTTCATCTGAAGTAGAGTATAAGGCAACGTTCTCCATAGAAAAAGGGGGGGATCAGGGAGTCCGTGGGTAGCTTGATCTTTTAAATAGAAAGTTGGAATGTGCTGGAGGAGAGCTGTGGCAGGGCTGGGCAGAGGGAGTGGGGCGGCTACTTGAGCCCCTCTGGAGGTGGAGCCAGAGCAGCCCCTGCCACCCCAAACCCCGGGGCTTCTGAGGTGGCGGGTGGGACCAGGGAGGGGCGGGAGAGAGGGACAGGGCACAGGGGACTCTGGCAGTGTTGAGGGAAGAGAGGGGGTCACTTTGCTCCTGGACGGAGTGAAATTCATGTTTTTCCTTTGGAAATAAGGGTTCCCACTCGTCCTGGTTTAGAACGTCTCACTGGGCATGGCCAGTGTCCATGGTCTGGGGAGGCCAGGAGCTCGTGGTGAGAGGGAAGGGCCAGGGCGGAGCCAAGGGACTTCAGAAGGAGGCAAGTATGGGGCAGCGGAGCCCCTTCCTGTGGAGAAAGTCTCAGAACAGGAGGGGGGCTGAGGGCGGGCCTAGGGCAGCCCGGGGCCTCCCTTCCACCAGGGGCCCAGGCAGGGCACAGACAGGACTGCATCTTTGGGGCCTCCCACTTCAGTTGGCCTTACAAGTTCTTCGTGACCAGGTGGGTCTTGTAATGCTTGGTGAGATGGTCACTCCTCATGAAGCGCTTCTGACACTGGGCACACTCAAAGCGTTTGTCCCCTGGGAAGAGGAGATGCCTGTCACTAATAGCCATGTGCACACACGGTGCCAGTCCCAAAAAAGGAGGGTAGTGCACGTGAGGAGGGAGGGCACCCTATACAGCTGATGTCGCTTTGTCATCAGACCCTGCCACTCCTGCTTGCACCTGTGTTCCCCATGCTTCACTAACTGAAACCCTTTGTCCGTTCTCACCTCTCTACCTGCTTGCTGTCACTCTTCAGTCTACTTCCATCCTGTTTCTTGTTCCTTACCCAAGATGCTGTACTTGTGCCCCTGCACCTAGGTGTTGCTTGCTCTCTTCTGTCTTTGTCCCTGACTAACCTGGCTCAGTGTCCTCCCCCTCCCAGGGAAACCCCACTCCACTCTGACCAGCCCGGCTGCTGGCTGAGAGCACTTACTCTTCAGCCTCTGAGAGGGGCAGGGCCTGCTCCACCACACTGGCTGGGAGCCGGGGAGCTTTGGGCCCCAAGGCCCCATCCCCAGACCCAGGACAGGGAACTGCTCCCTGGGGATATGGACACTATATAGCAGCAGTTCTCAAAGCATGTGCTGTGAACCACTGGAGATACACAAAGACAAGTTCAGGTGGTGGTGGACAAATATTTTTCTATTTTATAGTCTTGTATTTATTTGCCAGTGCATCAAAACATACTCCTACGATATCAAGCCTATGATGTCAAAAATAATGCATTGGACATAAATGAGTATAAACAGTGAAATGACTAAAGGAAAATCGTCTGGTAATTAGTAGTAGGAAAGGCAGTGTGGGATAGTGACTGAGAGCATGGACTTGGGAGCCAGAAGGCCTGGGTTGCACCCAGTTCCACCAGTCATTACATGAGTGACCTGGCCACCTTTTCATGCTGGTAAAATGGACATAATCCAAGTACCCTCCCCATACAGTCATTATGAGGATTAAGTTAGTTAATTGGTACAATGCATAGTACTGTGCCTAGCACCCTAAGTCAGTGCTTGTTAAATAAGTAGCTATGCAGCTATGGCAGAGGTCATCAAAGCCATTAGTGTCATGACACCACTTTGGGGAATCCTACTATGATAGAATGGCTTCAGAGAATTCTCTGGGTGCTCCCGGACTTGCTGAGGAGCCAGTCTGTAGTCCTCCCTCAGTGTGGCAGCTTGTCAGCAGGGCCAGGAAGTGGGGGGTGGGGGTGAGGGGCAGCCACAGGGGAGGGGGCAGACCTGTGTGCGTGCGGGCGTGCCGCTGGAGCTCGTCACTCCGTGTGAACCTCTTGCCACAGAAAAACCAGTTGCAGACAAAGGGCCGCTCTCCAGTGTGCAGGCGCACATGAGCCCTCAGCAAGGATGTCTTTCGGAATGTCTTGCCGCAGTCAGGGATATGGCACACGTGCTTCTTCTTGCCCTGCTCCCCAGACCTGGGAATGGGGGGGAGCGGGTGGGGAGTCGAAAGGGGAGCGGCGGGGAGCGGCGAGGAAGTAGAAGATGGGGGCAGGACACGAGGGAGGGAGGATGCGGGGTCAGGTCAGAGCACAGGAAAGGTGAGGAGTCTAGGGCATGTGGGGCGCCCACCTCATCCCCTCGGTCTGTGTTCCAGACAGGAGCTTGGGGAATGACACACGCCCAGCTGGCAGTCTGGCCCCTCTCCTCAGATTACCTCTTATCCCCGTCCTTGCAGTTGGGACACGTGCAGGCCACACGGCGCCGCTTCTCCCCGGGCTGGGCCTCTCCGGACAGGGCCTGCTCCATCTGCAGCTGGATCTGGGTGGGGCTCAGCCCGCTGATGGTCAGGTTGTTCCCAGAAACATTCTGCACTGTCAGCTGCTGCTGCCCTGTGGGGAGGAGGGCACGGTTCCGGGTGAGGAAGCCTGAGAGCAGAGGAGGGAGCCTGATACCCTTCTTCCCTTCCGTGCACACTAATCACAGCAGCAAGTATTTTTAAGAGCCTTTTTGTAATGTGCCAGACACCAATTTAGAGACTAACTGTATTAACTAACCTTCATAAGAAAGATACTGTTATCCCCCTTTTCCAGTTGAAGAAACTGAGATAATAACATATCAAGACCACACAGGTAATCAGTGATAGAAATGGGATCTAAATCCAGGCAGTCAATTTCAGAGTCAATGCCAGGAACCACTGTACTTAATAGGCTGAATTCGTTTTCAGACATGGCCTACATGGTTTCAGTTGGGAAGGGTCTTATTTTGGGTTGTCTTGGGAGTATTTCTTCTGGAATCTCCTCCAGCTGTAGGCCCTTGTGAGATTGTGATTCTGCTCTTAGGAAAATCTCCAGAATTTTTGGTAATAAGAATGAGAAAACAGTTCTATGGACTTTAGAAATATCAACTCCTCTGAGACTTGTATAAAGCCATTCAAAGCAGGGGGAATGTCACTGACCACTGCTGGTGCCCCTGAGTGGATTCCTCCTATGCCACTAAACCAAAATGCATGAAGTGCTATAAATTAATTTAAGACTGCAGAGAGGAGATTTAGAGGGCTCCCACTATCTTGAGAAACACCCCTCACCCAACTAAAGAATGCAAGGAACCATTTTGCTTGGGTAGCTACAGTGTTTCTTTGACGATCAGCAAGGCCTCTTTCACACTATAAATATGACCAAACATTATCACTGAACTGACGTGCAGCACAAGCCATTCCAACTGTCAATGGCTCCCTCCTTTCCTTCCACCCTTAAGGCTTTCTCCTAGAAGCCTTCCTTCAAGTTCCTTTATCTGGAACGTCCCCCTCAGCCCAACCTCTGACTCTGTACACCAAACTAATTTGATTTGTAAGCTGCGGAGTTTTCTGGAGTACATCTTACTTTCTCCATCATATTCAGGTCTTCAGTTGTCAGGTGGGGCTAACATGTGTCTTAAACTATCTCATAGGGCTACTGTAAGGACCAAGCAGATGTGCTTTAGGCTAGGAGAAACCAGGCAAACGCAGGTGGCCC